ATAGAGACCTGATAAACTCTGTAAGCCTAAAGCGGCTGTGTGTGTGTATTTAAAATATTTTTTTTAAAATTTTGATGTATTTTAATCCTGGGAGCTTTAAAAAAGGTTTTTAAAAAACAGGCTTATATTAGTGTACATTTCTGCCATGTGTTCCAGGCTGTTGCGTGCACCCCTATTTATGGATAAAAATGATGCATGTTCCTGCGTATTGCTGAGGTATATATTATGCAGCAAGCTATATGACACCTCTGACAATCTGCCTTTTTAATCTCTGTTTGACTGATATTTCTATTTTAAAGGGGAATTTAACACTGATATGAAAATGCTACTATATTCCACATCCCCTGGATTCAATTAACACAGCAGGTGGGAAATGAAGATATTGTGACAACTCTTCTTCCATCTCAAAACCATGTAGCAATTTATATTCCAAAAGGCCCCAAATACTGGCATGATCATTTATAGTATCTTTGAATGCTTCTTTGTGTACTAGTTAAAAATTCAGACAAACCTCATCTCGCCACAGTCCCTGAGGCTCACAGTGAAAGGCAAAGCTGTGAAAACATTCTCAGCTCTAAGCTCTGCAACTGCACGGGATGATTTAAGCAGCAGAGTTCCCATCAGGTTTCTGGAAATGCTTACAGGGTTTTTCATGTTGTCACCATGGAAGATAGTGAAAGTGTTAAATCAGTGGGCTTTGAAGGATCAGATTCTCACCATTCATCTTCCCTCTGCAGCTGATGTATTTTAAATTCATCCTGCATCTCAGCATCAGCTGGGCTTTTGCAAGTTAAAAACAAAGGCAGGCTTGCACAGTCAAACAAGGTACACAAATGCCACCTGAAGCACATTTTAGAAAATACTTCTTATACTTCCTGTATGTCTGGAGAGAACTATAGCTCTTTGCATTTGGCAGCATTAGTGTCCTGTTGGTGGTGTGGGGGTTTTGGATTTATTTATTTATTTAAGCAACTGCACTTACTTCAGCAGCACAGGACCAAATTCCTCCCCTACAATGCTACTGCTACCAGCTCAGTGGTTATTATTGGATTACCCTTAGCTCACTGTTTGAAAAAGCAAAATCTGGTGAAATAATGAGTGTATTATCATTATTATTACCACCATCCTAATATTGACAGTGTCTGTGATCATGACAAACCATGCTAGAAGCTCTGTACAAACTCAGAGAGCAAGATGGTTCCTGCCCTAAAGAATCTGTAGCTGAAAAAAGTCTCACGCTGCATCCCTTCCAGCTCACCGTCTGCTTCTAGGGTTTTGTGCTTTGCCTCTTGCAGGATCCTCCCCCATAGCTGAAACCTCCCTCACCAGTTTAGCGGTTAGATACACTGCGAGCAGCAGACAAACAAGCTGCCTATGTGCACGTTTCAAGCTGCTGTTTCTCTGACGACCTTCTTTCCTGTTCTTTCATCTCTAAATTTAGCCAGCTGCTGAAGTGGGGACTCTGGCAGATTCAGTGACACAGGAAGCACTAACACAGAGACTCACTCTTAAAAGAACAGCACAGATTATGAGACAGTGTAATTATTATTCTGTAGCCAAATGAAGTTTATTTTATGAAATTGCACCATTTCAAGTCTAATAAACCATTACAGACATTCCCTCAAGACCAACACATGCAGGACAAAATCAACAGCATTATTTAAGGGCTGGCACCGAGCACAGGGAAATCTGTTCACGTTAGAATTGCCGTGCCCATGTTTGAAGGGATGACATTGTAACCGCCAGGCACATGTATGCCTTAAATTTGAAATTTAATCTTTTAAATAGCTGCCTCAGTGCCATCTAATGAGGAGAACATACTGGAGAATCACAGGAAACATTTAAGAATATGAAATGAAGTATTAAGTATTGTACAGATACTGGCTCTGTGACTGAGACACAATGATGTAACTACACCAAGTGCAGAAAAGTTATACCACCTTAAATTCTGGTTTGTTATTTTCAGATAAAATAAATATGGTAAATAGGAAATGTTCTATGTTGTCTGGGAGAGTTAAATGGCAAGAAGTTTTATTCTCTGGATTATATATAAAAAATCTGATTAAAATATTAATAATCTTTGTGCTTACATAGATAATGAAATAGCTTTAAATCGCCCTTGTTGTTGGAAATCATACTTCCAGTATTCTAGGCAAAAAGCTTTCCCTCCTTTTTAAGAAAACAGCACAAGCACAGCCCAGAAAATTTGTTAATTTTTTCTTTAATATAGCGGGCTAGAAGTTCTTCCAGAGTAAAGATACAAAGTTCCACAACTAAACAAATACCCAGTCAAAATATGATACTGCCTTTCTGCAGTACATGCCACTGACCTGACATGCAAGAGACTTTAAACAGTCATAAATTACAGATGTGAGATACATATCTTAATCCCATGTTAGTTTTCATCAATAATTTGCAATGCATACAATTTTTCTATCTGGTTATTGTTACCCATGAACATTATGAGCAGGTCATCTTCAAAGAAAAAGAATAATCTTTTATTTTAAATGACAATTTCTTTCTCATTATATTCTTAACATAACACAAGACAGGGTGATGACTTGTCTAACTTACAAGTCTCTAACTTCATGAAAATACAAAATTCTAACTCCGCACTATGATCAAGTATCAGAGACAACATATTTGAGATGTGCAAGGACATGGTATAACCAAAGCAGATTCATTTGCAGGAATTTCCTCTGATCTTACTTGTATAATCATCTCTCTGCCTCTGAAGATTGTTATCATATCCCCCGGGATGATAGGCATTCAGCTCATCGGTATTCAATGATTAGTGAAAACTTGTTAGAAACTCCCAAAATCTTCATATACTTTTAGTGCTGTTTTAAAATATGTAACTAACTTACAAAAATAAAAGAACTGTACAAATCACACTCTTCCACTGGGCATGAGACTGTTCAAGGAAATAGCAACATGATCCCTGAAACAACCAACCAGAACAGAAATCAGAAGAATGATGCTTAAAAAAATAAAAAAGAAGTAAAAACATTTTCCCCTGCCAAAGTACTGGAATCTTTGAAAGTTTATATATCACAGACTATAAAACTTTTCTCTGTGTCCTCAGAATATTTCTTTCCTCTTTCCACAGGTACTTCTTGAACAGATTCCCCTTTGTTGGTGGTGTGGCACAAGCCTTGCTGAATGGGTTAAGGCTAGAAAAGCTTGAAAGACCTAAATAAATCAACAGCCACCTAATCTCTTGGCATTCATGCAAACTCAGCGAAATGAAATAAACCTGAAGACAGGCATGCATGCTGAATCCTAAAGTGATTTTCTATGATGCTTAAAATTAAACCAAAATAAACACCTCTCTGAGATGTTATGCATTTAAAATCTTTCATCTGAATAGTCATCTGACTGTTCATATCACTGTGTCGCAGAGAGATATGATGCTATGCCTGCTCAAAACATTCGAGTACTTTATCATTTTACAAGGCACAAATAATCTCAGAAGAACTACACGGTGGCTTTTGAACATGTAAGGATATGGCAGCTACCGTGTAATTACAGGACAATTACGTCTTAAATTCAGTCACTGACACAGACCTTGTAAAATCTAAGACCAGGGAACTACATGTTACCTCATCTTTGGAATACAGTACTTAACTCCACTTACAGTTAGAGACTAAGCAGCAAGTAACTACCATTTCTTAACTCCATACAAACACAAGCTTTGCCATGCAATTAGGAAGTTGTTGCATGGTGTATGTATGTATATGTATCTTAAAAGTAAATAATGCAAATTTGTTTTGCTGCTTTTACAGAGGGACTTCGTAGCATTCCTTCCTCAAGCTAGCTCGGTGTGTAGGTCCTGCAAGAGAAGGTGTCCACTCACCTTCAGTTTCTTTTTGCAAATTCCGAAAGAGTTTAAAAGGATCAGAGAAAAAACTCCAACAACAACACACCCTTAATCCACTTGAAAAACTGTTATTAGATGTACTATGTACTCATTAGGAAAGAAATATACTTTTCCATAGAAGAACAAGTTCTAGAGTAAATTAGAAACTTCCTGTTGGTTAATGCTGCTGCACCATTATGTTTTTCTTGACTAGAAATGTGGAAATTTTATAGGAATATATGTAAACAGAGTCTATAGAAGGTAATAGCAATGAGACATAAAGTGCTTTTAATTATGAAGATTTAATTTCACTTTGCACCCTTCCCTGGCAAATTATCGTACTCAAGCTCGTTTTAGTTCAACTGGCTCAGGTCTACACTATGAAATACTGTAATTTCCCTTCCACCTACTGTTTTAACCATGGTACTCTCAGTAAAATAAAAAATAATTCATGCCAGAGGGGTAAAAGTCGACAGATATAAAGAGAAAAGAGGCAAACTGGGAATTCTCAAGGGGAAAAAAAGTAGGCAAAGGGAAATAATAAGGCTCTGTCGTATAGGTCCCCGTTCTCCAGGAATTTGTCATGCATTGTCCTGTAAGACAGCGCTGAGGAACAACTACAAAAACCTCTGCCTTGAACACACCTCAGGCTACTGCTGGATGTAAATGAAGAAACTAGGATTCTTCAACTGAGAGCAAGCATTTAATCTTTCTGATATACATTCCATACTTCTCTAATCACAGTCTCTGAAGGAAAAGTACCTTTTCTTATTCAGAAAACCCAGTTGAACATATTTTGTAAAATGACTAAATCTAGCTTGTCTTGGCTGCTTAAGGTCTCATGCCAAGTATCTACATATTTCCTAATCCATTATATTACCTAGCACATACTACTCTATGTTTTGGGAAAGCAATAAGTTCTATAATAACAACGCTCCTAAGTAAGATAATGGCATAACTAAGAATACCTGTATATTAGAACCGGGTTTTACTGGGTCTTTGTTTAAGGCAGTTATTAAAAGGTGTTTATTCTTTTTGAAAAGTTGCAAATTTGTGGGGTTTTTTTTGCTTTGTTTTGGTTTTAATTTAGGCTTTTGGCAGCTGAAATGGGTTACTTTTACCTATTTTCGGTCCTTCTAATCCAAAGAACTATCCAGCCCGTGGAATCACAGGAATTTGAGCTGAGCTGTAACAACCGACCTCCCAAACTCTCTCAGCCTGTTTCTTTAGATGTCCAGTGGGCTGACAATAGCAAAGTCAGAATCTTTACTGTTATTACTACTGTCGTCATCAGGGCTGGAGCTCAGGTTGCTGGAGGAGGCTGAAATGGAGCCCATCAGCGGGTCAGAGAACACCAAAGAAGAACGAGATGGAGCTTCTGGCTTCACTGTTGCCTCCTTGTGTGCCTGAAGAGGCTGTGCTGGCTCAGGGACAGTGTTTCTACTTCCTTCCTCTTCTTTGGAAACCATGATATAGTCATCAGCACTCTTGCTCTCACTAGTGCTCGAATCAGTCGTAGTCTGTGAGATGAGACAGAAAGTTAGTACCCGTTTTACCAAGTAATGAGGTTTATGATACACGTTAGTGATATGGGAATGGGATAAAGAAATAATCACTATTGAAAAGTAGCAATGCCTAAATCAAGAAGCAAAAAATAAAGCGGGTGTTATTTATAGATTAAATAATCTATTTGTTACTTATAAAAGCATAAAACCTAATGCTCTGAAAATATGTTACTTGGTACAGCAGTCTTATATGTTTCATCATCACCGTACATCCATACAGTGATCACGGTAGCTAGGCATCTAACCCACACATTACAGTCAGGAAGATTTTCAGTAATTATATTCTCACTGCTGTTAGTTTTCTGTAGCAATTAATGAAGTAGTACTGAGGAATTTTTTGTCCATTTGCACACACAATGGCATTTTGGAGCTTGTCAGGAGAAAGACTTGATATAAAATTTCCTAGTAAAACCTTGACCTGCATAATTTGAGCACAGACTTGGTTTAATATGCACCAGTTTGGGTTTGACAGATCAGGGCTCCAAGGGCTTCTAGGCTTAGTGTCATTGAGTATTTCTTAACTCTACGAGAAAGAGGGTCCGGGAATCCCTCTTCTGTCTAGTTAGACCTTGAGAAACGTGTGACCCTGAGCACTTGGGTAGTGCATCATGACTGCACATTGGTGTATCAGAAAACTCTCTATGAATTTGCAATCTTATATTCCAACCAGCCACACTGGGAGAAACACAGCTTTTCAACAGTCAGAGCTATATGTAATTAGAAGAGAAGACTGCCACAGACAGCAGAGTGGGATTTCTCACTTGTTGACAACTGGAGGCTATTAGCTTAGTTGCAACCCAAAGAGACAATGTCTTCTGCAAGAGATGCATTTGACTCCTGCCTAGCACTATGTTCCTCTAACAAGAACAGGACTGCTTTCTTAATTGCTCTCATACACATTTTTTCAGAGTAATAACGCAACCTGCCAAGCAGCCTGTGGGGACAAGCATCCTGAAGTGGCGTGATACTGAAACAAATATATTTGATTACACTAACGTGATACTGAGAAAAAGGAGAAGTAGAGGGGCAGCTGGGGAAACATGTATATCACCGTCTGTCAACTACAAGCCCTTCAGCCATGATTCTTCCACCAAACAAAAAAAATGTAAATTCAACTTTGCAGTAAAAGAGAGATTGTAGGTATTAAAGAACAAAAGAAAGCAGCTCAAAAAAGAACAACTGGAATAATCTGAATGAGATAAAATTAGACCCGCAATCCAGTACATAGAATTGGAGTATGGAGGTCATCACAAGTATCAGTAAGCCACAGCTTGGAGTTAGGGTATCCATGGCTTCCAGCAAAAATTATTTTGCCAAATTTATTATTACAGCTGAAAACAATTTTCCATTGCTCTGATTACTGATTATAGACCAGAATGTTCTTGAAAAGGAACTGTAGAGTAGCTCAGGGAGCAAAACCCATCAGTGATTAAGAATTACTGTGATATGAAAAGAGGGAGCTGGAAGTCTTTGGTTGTTATTTACACAGTTATTATGAACAACATAAATATCAGCTCAATGTGAAAATATGTTCAAATATAGAATTGTGAAAAACCCCCCAAAATTTATATGAACAAAAATTCAAACATCTCCCTTTGCAGTAAATTTTTAAAACATCCTGGTTTTATATTTTTTTGTGTGTTAGCTAGTATCTAGGTATAATAATACATTATTACCTAGGTATAACATACAGTATTCTGTTCAGTTATTGTCCCATTTTAATACTTTTATCATTCAAACAGAAATACCTTAAGTCCAGAGTACCAGTTACAATTTTAAAGGTTTCAATGTAAGACAATTGTCAAACTGATAGAAATTTACATCTATTATTTTTTAATACTAATTCATTTTCCTCAGATGACTTAATAAAGTTCAGACTAAACCAAGCAGATTGCTTTCAGAAATATCAACAACTATCCTGAGTTGATGAGTGCTAGACAAATGGATCTCAGACTTCCTGATCTGTGCAGAAGCAGGGCAGTTTGAATGTCAACAACTTCAAGTAGTTTTCATGTTAAGTTAAAGACAAACAGATCTATCCTACATGGAGACATACTTCACTATTTAAGCATATCCGAGCTGAGACATCATTTGTCATTAATTAGCCTTTTGCTTTCATCTAGGCTATTTGAAATGCTGTCTTCAGGAGCTGTCAGTCAATTGGCTGCCATCTCCGGGGGTCAAGGACACAAGAAGGACACGACTGTGGCTCTGCACCAACACAGAATCATAGAATGTGCTGGGCTGGAAAGGATCTTTGAAGGTCATCTAGCCTAAGCCCTCTGCAATTAGCAGAGACATCTTTAACTAGACCAGGTTACTCAGAGCCCCATGTTTTCAGGGATGGAGCATCTACCACCTCTCTGGGCAACCTGTTCCAGTGTTTCACCACCCTCACTGTACAAAAATTTCTTCCTTATTTCTAATCTAAATCTACCCTCTTTAAATTTGAAACCATTACCCCTTGTCCTATCACTATAACTCCTGATAATGACTCCCACCCCACCTTTCCTGTAGGCCCCCTTTCAGTACTAGAAAGCCATTATAAGGTCTCCCCAGAGCCTTCCTTTCTCCAGGCTCACATGTCAGTAGTTGCCTGATTTTGTAGGCATCCAGTGCAGCCACAGGACAAGGCCAGGTGAAGCTTTTCTGGGAGCTGCAAGTGCCATGTTCCAAATCTCAGTACTTTGTTTCCCCCCGTCCCCACGGCGTACAACAGAAATATACATTCTTTTAAACAACCACTGCCGCATAATTCACCTGGCTTCTTTCCACACTTCTATTTAAAAGTTCTCAGGGAACGCAGTACAGCCCTATTTTGCAAAATTATACACTTTATTATTCCAAGCTATCAAGATCATGCTATTTCAGTCCTCAGAGACAGCACATGCAAGATGGCTGCACCTTGTGTAGGGCAATGCATGTTACCTAGTGACACACTCGCCCAGCAGGATCCATATTTTCCTTGCTGGTACCCCCAGGGATGCTAACAGGGTGCCTTCCTTTCGACAGCAAGCGCCAGCAAGGGCTCTCTGTCATAAACACTTTGCAATTTTCTAAATTCTCCTTCCAAAAATGCGTTCTTATGCAGTTAAAAAAGCATCTTGCCCTTTGATAAAGGGAAAGGAAAGAAAAACGCTCACCCCAATTCGCCGTTGTTAGTGTTGTGCTTTGCAATGTTACTGTTCGTTCTACCCACGTTTTTTGGTTCAGGTAAAGAGACCTATAGCTCAGTGAAGTATCAGAGATGCAGCAAAGCATAGATATTGACTCCAAAATGTCATGACAGAACCTCCCACACATGTTTGCCTATCCCTGGCATACACTGGTATATTGGTACTGATATTTCCAGAGGTAATATACCTCCTTCCTTCTTCTCCTGCCTGTTTCTGTTTCAGGAAACTCATGCTGACGTGCACCATGTTTTCTCCCATCTGCTGCCACTACTGAATAAATGAAAAATGACAGAATTATACTTCCAGTAGCTTTGAAAGTTAACAACCTTACGCCCGTTGCCATATGGCTTCTCCAAACATTTTTCCTGATGAATATCAGCTACGAGGACCAGGCTTATTTCAATTGCCTTCATACTGTGAATGAGTTAAAACTAACTGTAAGGACACAATTCAAGAAAGCTTAGAAGAACAGCAGCTCATTTTGCCTCCTCCTTTGAACAGACACAAAGGCAAGAAAATGCGATAATTATCATTCATTATTTAGCAACAGAAGCCTTCTGTTTGTCAACTGCATGCTGCTACCAAAGCCAAACATTCCAAAAAATGCTCACTTCTTTGAGCCCTTTTTTAATTTTTTGGCATTTTTAATTTTGCAGCTTTTCTTTCCCAAGAAGGACTCTATCCTTATCCTCATTTTCCAGAATGGGATTTCAACGCAGCGAAGAAGAAAGAGCACTTTTATAAACTAAAGATGATTAATAATTACATTTATATAATAACTGAGCAAAAAAGACCAGATTTTAATCTCAATTATGCAACAGCTACACCTGTAACTTTTTCAGCTGTCCTAGAAAAAAAATCCCTGTAATTCCACCAGACAAAAATCTCCATAGTATATGTCACAGCAAATAGAATTACATGCATCGCCAAAGTCACAGGAAACGTAAACACTGTAAAATCTATTTAGGCAGAAATGCATTAAATGGCCTAGAAGTGGCTGGAATTTTTAAACCCCCTGCAGCTCTCAGCAAGTACTCCTGGCCTGACCCAGGGCATCAGTGCAGCTCACTTTCTTGGGCAGAGTTAAAGCCTGGGCTGTGGCCTGGTTTGGGCCAACAACTGACCCCATGAATGTCACAGCCCGATAAATTCAGTAGTTTTATTTTCCTGTGTTTTATTAAAAGGGCCCAAAGCTCTCCTCCTTTTGTTTGATTTTAGACACGGTTAAAGACGTTGGGCTTGGAAACAGCACAAACCACTGGGATACCAACAGTCCTCCTGGACAGCCATTCCTTTTTCTTTCTGTCAAAGGGGCTGTTGCTCATAATCATAATTGAAACTTCCAGAAGATAGGACAAGAGGAGGCTAATCTGTATGGATGTACTGCACCTCCAAACGTAAACCACACAGTGCTCCACTCTCGTGAGGCCCAACCTGGAGTACTGCGTCCAGTTCTGGAGCTCCTACTACAAGAAAGATACAGACATGCTGGAATGCATCCAGAGAAGGGCCAGGAGGATGATCAGAGGGCTGGAGCACCTCTTCTGTGAAGACAGACTGAGACAGTTGGAGTTGTTCAGTCTGGAGAAAAGAAGACTCCAAGGAGACCTTATAGTGGTCTTCCAGTATCTCAAGGAGGCTACAAGAAAGCTGGTGAGGGGCTTTTTAGGATGTCGGGTAGTGATAGGACTAGGGGCAATGGATTAAAGCTAGAGATGAATCGGTTCAGATTAGACATTAGGAAGAGCTTCTTCACCATGAGGGTGGTGAGACACTGGCACAGGTTGCCCAGAGAGGTGGTGGAAGCCCCATCCCTGGAAGTTTTTAAGGCCAGATTAGATGGGACTCTGAGCAACCTGGTCTAGTGCGAGATGTCCCTGCCCATGGCAGGGGGGTTGGAACTAGATGATCTTAAGGGTCCCTTCCAACCCTGACAATTCTATGATTCTATGAAGCCTCATTAATGCTCTGCAGAAACTCGTCTTGAACAATCTCTACTCATGTTGTTCGCAGCTGGCTTACTAGCAGTCTCCAAAGCTGTGGGACCCACAGACACCTCTCAGTTCCTGCAGCTGGATGTATACACCCTGACTACGTCCTGGGATAAGAACAGACCTCTTTTACATGTTACCCCAAAAGCTTCCACTTGAAAAAAACCTGTGCAGACCAGGCTTCACCTGTTCCATGCCCAATGTTAAAAGTGCAAATTCCCAGCATCTCTGCTCAGGGACAAATGGCTTAGACAAACATTTGAGGAAGGGCTTCTCCAGCATGAGTAGAGTCTAACACTCTCATACAGTATGCTTCATATGGCATATAGAGTCACTTTATATGGCATTCTAGCTTCCAGCTTCCAAAAGAAACCCAAGCAAAAATAATCCAAAAAAGTACTATTTGCCATTTTGGCATGAAAACAAAAGTTACTTTTAAAAAAATGCAAGGAGACATAGGGCAAAAAGAGGAGGCCATTATATGAACACTCCAATACACTACATCAGTTTAACCTATGGTTTTATTATGGCAGAAAGCAGCGATTGTAATGACAACAGCTAAACAAGCAATGAAACCTTTGCTCTTTGAACCTGCCACTACTAAGTAAATAAAAATAAAAATCTTTGTATTGCTTCTAATACTGACATACAATTAAAATACGATTTTTAACATGAGTGTTCTAACTCAGAGGCATTGGATGTAATAAATAACCCTGTGTCATTCCTTGAAAAAGAATAAATATTCCCTGTACTTCCTAAGTACGATTGTCAAAAGTAAACTAATTGCAGACTCGGACTCTGAGGTGATAGTGCTGCCACTGATTTACAAGTATGAATATCAGTAGTGGGGTGGCAGACTTCACACAGCTCCAATATAGAAATGTGCATATATAAAAGTACTTGTTTTTAAGATCACATTTGAATTAGACTGAGTCTTAGGCAGAGAGGAGACCTTTCAACATGAAATGAAAATACCTTTTTCTGTGTATGAACTTGTCCTGTAACTGTATGCTTTGTATGTGAAAACATGGTTTACTAACTCAAGGAGAAAATCCTACAATGGAATAGAAGGTAAAAGCAACCTCCTCGCTATTTCCTTTTTGGCACTGGCCATGAACACACTGCAATGCAGATAATCAGCTCTTATATAATGGGATTCTGGAGGACAAGGACGATAAGAATAATCATATGGAAACATTTAAGATGGGAACATCTACTTCAAATTTTTACTTCTTTTTGTAGGAAATTAATCCGTGATTCTGTGATTCAAGAATCTGAAAGAAGAATCAGCCCCAAACACTGCATAACACTTTGACTTAAGTATCTCTGTGGAGCATAAGGCTACAATAAAAATAATTGATGGGAGTAGGACAGTAGCCAGAGAGTCACTTTTAACTGTGGTTCCATAAGTACCAGGAATGCTGGTGTGCTCCCATGTAATGTCTGGGTACGCTGAAGGAAGTCTCCAAAAGTGTAAGGTTAATTCCATCAATGGCCTGTTTGAGATGTTTTTATCTTACCTGTCGTCCTGCAATGAACTGCTGCTTTGTCATAACAGGCCCCTTTAGGACATCACCTGTCCCCTTATTCTGACTGTTGGAACAGTAATGATCATCGGCAATAGTGATTTGCTCGTTTTCCTCAGCTTCCAGCTGGCTCTGGTTGAAACGCAATGAACCTTTAAGGATATCCTTGATCTGTTGTTGCATGGGAGGGAAAAGGACGTAAGTTAAAAATTTGGAGGAATTCTAAATTTTCTAAAGCTCTGTGCAGTATGCTTTTATATACCATTTTCCCAAATTTGCTTTGAAGAGACAGGAAGCAAGTCAATATTCACACAATATTGGTTAAAGATACAAATATCAGTGAAACATATCAGAGTCTTGAAAGCAACCATCGGAAAAAACCTAAAGAGAATGGAACTGTTAAGATTATTCTCTACCTCATTATAGGTTTAACATATGCCACATTGTTCCTCATAAAATGTAATGTGAGGGAGCAGAGGGCAGTATAATCAGAGCCACAGATGCTCAGCAGCATTCTCATTTTATGTACATAGTATTTTTTCTTTTAATTCAATGACATTCAAGTGTTGTCACATTTAAATAATAGGGACATAGGCATGATTATTGCCTAGCATGTACATTTGGCATTAAGAAAAACGACAGTGTCACACTGCCTCACTTCTGGTTGATGCATTAGTATTAGCAAAATAGCTATAAGACAAAAGAGCAGCATATAAAAAGAATCTAAGAGGAAAAAGAAAAGACAGGATTAATAGCACTGAAGGGTACAAGAAAGTTAAACTAAGCAATAGCTGTACCTGCTTCAAACCAGCCAAAGAAACCAGAATTTCATCTTCTTTTTCCAAGCGTTCTTGTAATATGACTTCCTGAATATTTCCTGCAACATGAAAAAAAAAAAAGAAACAGTAAAGAGAGAAAATTCTATAAATAATCTCTACCGTGCTGACAACTTATCGCTCATTTATGCTCTCAAAACAAAATCCTGTGACCTGCAAACACAACTTTGCACACAGGCCTAAATGCTGACAGCCTGCGGAGGGGAGGGCAGCCCAAGCCTGGCACTGCTGCCAGGAGATCCCCAGCAACCCTGTGCTGCTGCAGGACTTCTACAGTCCCTGTGGACCAGTGGTCCCAGGCTACCACCCACCTCTAGAAGAGAGCATTGGCCTCTGTGGCAAATGGAGTAACAGGCATCTTTGAATCTGCAAATGCTTCAGGAAGCACTCAAGAACATTTAATAAACCAGCTGTAGCTCACACAAAGGGGCTCAGCAATCTTCTTCTGGTCCCCACGCCCCTGCAGATGCTACAACACTCTTCTTTATAGAAAGACTGGAAGTTTCATTTCCTTGGATGTCGGCCTGTGCAACCCGCTCTAGGTGAACCTGCTCTGGCAGAGGGGTCGCACTTGTTGATCTCCAGAGGTCCCTTTTGTCCTGGTTTGAGAGCACCAGGATAAAAGTTTTCTGGGGTTGCCTGGACCACATGGTAATCGCAATGGGGGAGGAGGGGCTGCTGTGCTGGGAGAGTTGTCCTTGGCTGTTCCTCATCTCTCTCTATGCTCTTGGTGTTCTCACCTCCTGTTTTCACACTGCAGAGGAGTGCTCTTTTTTGGGACAGGTTTTCTTCCCCTGTCTCTCCAGGTGGAAGAAACACAACTCCTTTTCTGGTGTTTTTGGACTGTCATTGGGACTCTGGGCTCTGGTGCTCCCATCTGCTGCTGAGTCTAGTCTGAGACTGCTACTGGGAACCTAGCTGTCATCCAGAGGGTGGAGGTTCCATATTAACATGTTCGTTTGTATCTTTGAATATATTTGTGTACTTGTTAGACTATATACAGATATTATACATCTTCATTGTTATTGTTAGTATTATTTTTCTTTTCCATTAAACTGGTTCAAGTCTTTTTCCAAAATCAGAGTCTCTCTCTCTGATTTCCCTGTTATCCTCTGGGAAGGTGGTGGAGGGATCACAGACAGCATCTGTCAAAGCTTAATGGCCGGCTCAGCCTTAAACTTCAACACCTTCCAACCCCTAACATTCTGTGATTCTGTGACCCAGGGCTGAGCAAAACTTAATTGACAGAAAGAGCAGCGCAGTACTATCCCTTCAGAAGACGCTCACTGTCTGTACCTACAGCAGTGTCTTTCAAGGATGATGCATTTCAATACATTCAGAATTAGTTGCAGTCAGAGCTGGAGGCTGGCTAACTCTTCAGAGCTGGAGCTGTGGTGGTCTTCTCCGTGTCAGGTAAATCCCAGGCAGTGCTGCAGTCCAAACCCGCCCAGAGAAACTATAGCTCCAGAACTTCTGTAGACTCTTCAAACTATGTCAGGTCCTTCTCCTACCGCCCAGCTCCTATTTTCCTCCTCTTAAAGGAAACAGCAAAGATTTACAGCATGAGATGGCATCTGTCAACTGAAAATGACAGAATACTCTTTTGTGCCACTCCTGTCTGGCACACAGAGCTGAGCCCAAGTCCCTCAGTGACACTCATCTGAGAACAGCTCTTTGCTGCTCATGAATATCTGTATCCAGGTGCTTCACAATCAGAGCTCTGGACCATTAATCCCCACCTGTGTTGCATTTGTTTGTTTTTAAAAACATCCTACATGTTCAGGGCCCGAACAAATAAAAAGCCAGAACTGTTGTCACAGATTGTGCAGACAAGGATAAGGATGATGACACTGCCAACTTTGACACAACCTGAAGTTTCAACTAAAAGCACTGAGAAATTTGGCACAAGCTTTTTGTTTACAGAATAAATAGCAAATGTATGAGATGTGGGAGACAGGTCAAGAAGAAAGATTAAAAGTAGAGAAGTAGATTTAAAACCCACATACAAACACAGAAATTTGAAATTGCGTAGGGGCCAGAAATCAGCAATGAGTATAAATGAAAAATAGAACGAGAAAAGAGGAGAAAGGATCCAAACTTAAGCACTGAATGAGCCACTAAAGAAGCAATCCGTAAAGTAGCAAGAATAAAAGAGCTACAAAAGACAACAGATGATGAGTACATGAGAAGTGCTGTGATCAAGGTTAAGAGCGACGTAGGAGGTAAGATAATTCAGCTTTGCGTAAGAAGCCGATCTGAACAAGGAGATACACATTTACATTATTTAGCACTTGTTATTTACCATAGTACAGTGGCAGTGTCCTGCAGCAAAGAAGTCGAATGTAGTACAACGGAACAATGTCTAAGTTTTACATCCGAAAGACACTGTATTATGAAGGCTAGAAATAATATAAGACTAAACCTCTCCACAAATATTTAGCAACACAAATTGAGAGAAAGCATAATTAATTTCAACTTTTTACTTGCTTTTTTAGTCTTTACATATAATTTTTCTAGTCTCTCAGTCTGGTAAATAAAAGAAATTGAAATTTACTTACAAAATAATATTTTAGATCTTTTATTTCCATTGTTTGACAAACAATGCATGTTTTCCTACTTCAAGTTCAGAATTTGAAGCATCAGAAGTTCAAAGTCTTTACAGGCAGGAAAGCAATGCTTTATCATCTTTGAATCAGTGAATTCAACTGTCTTTCCCATTTCTCAGCATTAGAAAGAAAAATATTTCTGTAGTGTTTGATCCCCACATAAATTAAAACTATGCATTATAACACTAAGGTATGCATACTGACTAAGCAGATGGACCGAGAAAATAATTCAAAATAAACCTCCAACCTGCTAAGACTAAAGGAGGGAAATCTAAAAAATCAGGGAAATAAGAACAAGAGAACAGAAGCTGAAAGGCATTCCACATGATGTGAAAATAATCTATTATTTCTGTTCTTTAGAGATGTTTTATAAGTCAGTATTTCAAAAAAATGGAAAAGAATCTAACATTATGACAAAAACCATCTGTAACAGTGTCTGAAGAGCCAGTACACTGAGAAATTTCTAGGAACTTATGAATAGAACCATAACAGTCAGCCAGCAGTAAAAATTAATAAAAATGTCCATAACATCACATATTTACTTTAGCAAGATTAATTCCAGAAAAGGTTGGAAATACAGCAAAATTTTCTAATATTGAATTGCTGAATTTCTCACATTTTTCCTTCTTTAAATGTGTATCTTTAAAGTATAGTATGACTTATGTCTTGGATATATAAAGTCTGTTACTTTAAATCAGTTTAAATCACTAAGATGTATTTTGGAAAAAAATCCACTTGGAGTTTGCTTTAAAGACCCAATTTTGGACTCAAAGAGCACACTTCCACTTAACCCAGAAAAATGGCACAAGATGTAAAATCACTGTAATCAGCCACTCTTCCCCAGCAGTAAGTAACAGTTGTGACATAAGGTCATAAATTGGGATGCCTTTCTCTAGTACAATGAAAAAGAATGAAGGTTTCCCCATGGAACTGGCAATGGAACTTCTTCTTAAAGACAGCTTTGAACTGCACATGGCTTCTAATCTACACCCCTCATCCCTTCCGAGTGCAAAGTTTATTACCTACCAGATATGGGATAAATGTGAAACCCAGATTTAGCAGTGCTCATTCTTTTTCCCTTGCTAATGAGTAGAGAGGAACTCAAAGAGGAAGAGAGGAGCGTACGGGGAACGTGGTTTTGCATGAGAGTGGCTTCGGTCACAGCCCCCTGGCTGGGACAACCCTGGGCAATCCATGTGGACTGAAAGCAGAGGTGGGAAGAAGAGGAGGGACGACAGTTTGGAATGAGCCTCTGCCGCCCTGATCGGCCGTGCCAGGGCTCAGCAGTCCTCTGCACCTGAGGACTTTCATCCAAGCCTCTTCCCACTGCTGGGGGGACCTCCCAGGGCTGCCAGCTGCTGAGATCAGCTGGGAAAGTAAGCTCTCAGGTGCAGACAAAAGCTTTTGATTTTACCCTTCCCCATCTCAAAAGATACCCTTGTAACTATAAATACTTTTAAAAACACTAGCTCTGTTAAGAGTGCTAGGAAGCATATTTGATATGACATTGCTCAGCTGAAGGACTTTTACATTAAGCTGAGATATCTAATTCAATTATTCTTCCTTTACAGGAGATGTAACTGTATTTTGAGAGAAGTCCTTTATGTATACAAATGAATTTACCATATATTGATTTTTTCCTACGCTCTGTATCAGTACCTCACAGCTTGATCTTTTTTCCCCCCCATAAAATAGTATCTTTAAAAAAAAATTCCTGCAGATGTTAATCAGGAACTGAAAATTTTCCTACTTGTAAAACAAACACTGATAAAATCAATCAATCAAATTGATTGTGATTTCTAGATCATTCAAAACTGAGTTTAGTTTGATTTTATGCTATAAATATCTTTTTTTTTTTTGGCATAGCTATTGTCATTCAAAAGTTAAAAGAATCCTGTGGTTAACAGAATCCTTAGACTAAAGCTAAGGTCAGATACTTCTGGCTACCTTTATTTTTTTTTTCTTTCACCAAGATTTCATGTACCTGATGCCAAACACATTCTGCAGAAAAAGAAAATATTTCTGTTTCGGCGAAGCTTTTACCAGAGGAAAACAAAAGGTGAATATTGCAACTTCTCACCTGGTGGTCAGAGTACTGCTGTGAGGTGCAGACAACCCCAGACAGCCATTACACAATTCTGGATTTGTTTCAACATGGTACTAATAAACCTCTAAGTTTCACAAAATGAACTGTCATACTCTTAACTGTGCTTTTGACTAAGTCTCAGAAATGGTGGAGTTGTAAAACCAGTTGTTGTCTTCAGCAGTCTACTATGGCCGGCTCAAACAAGACTCACAACCCAAGGGATTACTTTTATATAATTAATTAGAATTAATTTTGGGTACTTGTTGTCAAATGAGCAAGTAACAAGTAGTGATTTGGGTGGCAACAGTTGAAACAGCTAAAAATCAAGATTAAATATATTTTTCACTTC